TTTTTTTTTTTTTTTTTTTTTAAGAAGAAATTATAAGTAATCATTGTACATTAAGCTCATATTTAATTTATCAAAATTTTAATACAAAATGATGTCATTTAAAATACACATACAAATTAACTTATTAAATTTCTAAGTAATACACAACGTAACTTCATAAAAAAATTTATTACCAACAAAAAGAAACTGATGTTCTTTGTATTTTTTAAGACCATGCTTGAATTAAAGGAGAATTCACATATCAATATCTCTTAGAAAGTCAAACACACAGTAAATCGACGAAAAATCGAACTAAGCGAAGCAAAGAGCAAGATTAGAAACGAGTGAAAAATCTTGACACGAGGAATTCCATATTCAGGTTACTTTCTGACGTCACAGTACGCTTTCTGACGTCATTCACCTGCTGTAGCATCTCTGCAACGCATCTCCCATCCCAGCTCGTTTCGTTCGAATTTCGCTGGCCCCCTTTATACTCTGCTCTTTTCTCTGCAATCGCAATGTTTAATCGTTTCTATAGTATAGTATCAGCTACGGGAAGTGTACGAATTTCGGAATTAGCTGGTTACTCTCTATGGTCGAGCTTCGATCGCAGGGATCCTCAATCGACTCGATCTCTTACACACGTACACCCAAATTTACGTGTACGGTGAGATCTACGCACACATAAATTTGGGACGTTTTCCCTAAGAGGAAGCATCGATCGAATCACGTAACCCCTCCATCAGGCATCCCTTCCTCGCCTTCGTAGGGTTGAGTGTGCTGGGGACGAATTTCAAGAGTGATTTCTTTTATTAAAGTCAATACACGTTTTTACACTTTTCTCTTACAGCGGCAGTGAAATCGATGGATCGACAGAGAAGTCGCAGAGAAAAGTATGCGCGCATAGAAGTGGTTTTCGTGACGCTTAGGTGTAGATATATTAAATTTAAGTTCTGAATTATCGTGCCGACCGCTGATAATCAAACGCTTTCCCCCCATTCTTTATGTACAATAATTTGGTAATAATAGCAAGAATACTATTTCCACGGCAGTTGAGTTTTACCAGATATGTGTTTCGAAACAATGGCTTTTGAAATGTTCTTAAACAATGGCCGGTAGACACGAATCAAATGTTTTCAATCATTACGTTCGATTATAGTATGCGTCTGTTTAGGTAGCTTTTAAGGGGTAAAGCTAGGCGAAAGAAAACGAACAAGTGTTTCTCTTTGCTGGATTGATTGATAGATCGATCGGTTTGCGTCAGGGTTTATTTTAAACCAACTGTGTTCTTTATGCTTTATTCTGAGATCCCGTGCCAAAAATTGAGGATTTGCGTGAAAAGTAATTTTCTCTGTTCACTTTCCGTGTTTAAGTGGTACACGCGACAGAAGTCGGTGTAATTTCATTGAGAAGGAATTACTCTTATAATGGTGGTGTTCGTTCGCGAGAGCTCGAAAGAAAAGGCGATTCGTGGATCTTTTGTTTTTCTGGCCTCGTCGGTGAATTGATAAGAAGTTTATTAACGTGACTAAAAGCCAGCCACTTTTGCTTGGCTGCAAGCTGATCCTTCTCGATTCTACGCGGTCGAAAAGTAGGTCGTGCTGATGTGAATTACAGTCATCAGCTGTAATACCACAATATCATTCCGTAGACACAGCGGTAACGAAGCCTCTTTATCTAAGAATAGTTTGTAATTAATATCCTTAGTATCTGTTCCATCGTAACATTTCACACGTAACCGTTTCATTCCTTGCGATTTCTCAATTACGCAACAGAAACACTTTCCTTTAGTACTTTCCTTTAGTAGAGAAAGCACTTTTTCTCTCGATGTAGCAAACACATAAAACTAATAATTCTTCTGTACGAAAAATACTGCTATATATGCTGTTACGATTAATGCTACAATGAATGTTGTAATCAATCAGTTTTTATGACTAAAATTAGAATGCTAATTTTTACTTGTAAACGGAAAAATTGGTTCAAAAGTCATACTGATCAATTTCACAAACTGAAATGCATGGAACAATTACAAAAATTTTCCTTAGCTTTCTATTTTTTTAAAACATTGAATTACGAATCTGGATAACGTTGAATTAACAATTTCTACTTCTGGGAAGCTCGTGGCTTAGAATCTATAATTTAATATTTTGATATACGTTGCAATAAACGAAACTCTAGAGCCAATTGCCAATTAATTCTAGTGTGCCACATAATATTTCTACAGGATGCTCGTTTTTTGCGCGGTCGCAGAACAGCCGAGCCTCTGCCCCATAACGCAGTACCGGGAAGGGTCTAATTTATGGCACCCTCAAACAACTTGTCGCTTTCACTTGCTGCCAAGCCCCATGGCAACAGAAAAAACCGTTTGAAACTCTCTCACAATCTTCTCCAAAATACTCGTGCAACAATTTTACATTTCACTCTCGAAGGAACAACAAGTGTAATATCGGAAATCAAACATATCGCCTGTGTGGGATTTTGCTGGTAGCATTAATGATTCCAGACGTGGAGGCTCAATGGACAAGCAAACACACAGAAGCAAGCAGTGTGTGATAGAAACAAAGCGAGAGTACGAGCACTCGTTGGAACGAACTCTTGGCAGGTGCAACTCCTACAGGCGTCCCAACGACAAACGCCGACACACGTTGCACGTTGTTCACCCGCTACACTTTTTATGGCTCCTCTCATTCTTTCACGCCATTTCTAAAAGACCGTTGGGCCGTGCCAGGGACTTGGTTCGACGTACACATTTGGTGTGAGGTACTTGGCAGCCTCGCGGTTGTGTACAGCTGGGGACGATGGCAGATGGGGAGAGAAAAGAGGGAGAGATAGAGAGAGAAAAGGAAAGATCGTATTGGAGCGTTGACCCGCACGGTTCAACTGTTGCTCCCATTCGCGCATCCGGGAACGCGTGTAGGAAGGCCTGGGGATCCCGATGATAGAAGAGTCTTCTGTTAGATAGGTCTACCGAGAGCTCTCCCCTCCATCCACTGTTGAATGCCCGAAGAATGACAAAGCCAGACGATTCGCGCGAATTCTATAGAGAAAAATGTTGATCGTCTTCTTTGATAAGCAGAATGTAGGTTGAACATCGATGGACTTGAGATTTTTCTCCACTGCGTTTAATGGACGTGCATTCTAGGTTATTAATTACACATTCTTTCGATCTAGTTGTGTAAGAGTTATTAAAACGACCTGTTAGTACAGCTGTGTAGCGCAGTTACAACATTACTAATGGCACAGACGTGTTCTCGTTTGTGTAAATTATTCAGATGTTCTATGGTTTATAGATAGTGGTCGGGCACGCAATATCAGCCGCTTGAAGATTAATAGAATTTCATAGCACTTGTTATATCGAATCCGAGAGTAACGCGTTAAATTGCCTGCTATTTAATTTTTAACTCGCTACACACAAAGATCCTTTTATACATCTTCGAAGATTTCATTTCTTTATTCTATTCTAACTTATTCCCCAATTCTCAAAAATACTGCAGTATCATCAGCATCATGGGAGAATCAAAATAAATAAAAAAAATTTTCACGATTTCTTATGATTCGGCGAATTTCCTGATAGCAGATTTATACGACTTTCTGAGTATATAGCGGCAAGCGTGTATTTCTTAAAATAGTCCCAGGGTTACCTGGAAGACCAAGAGATGACCAAACATTTAATAACGTCAATTCTCCATAGATCTACCGAAGAAAGTTTGCTAATCTCATCCTACTCGAATCGATTGTGCCGAGCCCCTTTGATGGTTGAGGATGGTGTTGAACAGCGATTGACACAATCTTTGAACATGCTACCGCCAACGGCAACCTGTCACACAGTCGACAATGGCGTCATGGCGACGCCGGTAGTCAGCCGGTACGCGGGCGCCGTGGCGCCAGCGTCGCTTATCCCTTCTCTCTGCCCATTTCATCCGCCCAGGCGGTCTTCTCTCGAAACCACGTCCTTCCTGGGTGTGGTTCGAAACAGTGTCGAAGGTTGTGCCCAGCTTCCATTGTATCTCGACTTCGTCGTAGTCTCAAACATCGTCTCGTTTCTTCTCTCTTTCATTCAGGAAGATACACGGATCCATAGAGTTCGCGTGTATACTCTTTATACCGAGCGCGTATAACGAATGAAGAGGGAGAGCATAGTAAGCGATAGGGGTGAGAGAAAGAGAGAGAGAGAGAGGTTGAAAGCTTACGACGGAAAGAGACAGACAGACCACAGTAGGGCGAGCCACGACTGTTCATCGATTCGTCGCTTCCACGGTTCTGTGAACGCGGCATGAAAAGGGTCTAGCACCGTCAATGCGCGCATTTGACCGGTCCTCGTACGTGTGCATGCGTGTGCCCGGTTCTTGCTAAGGACAGTACCTTACCTTTCGGTTTCCCATCCAACGCTGGGCTTCTAACAGTTCCTGGCGTTCCATCGACGGCGCAATCTGGCGGTAGACCACGAGTTCAGAGAGGCCACCCTTTGCCCTCTGCACGAACCTTCCACGCAGAGAGGTTATGTTTGCTCGGGATTCATGACGCTCTGACAGAAGTGGAAGGCGGACGGAGCGGGTAAGTCGTCGCTCTTCTGCACTTCTCTTCTCCAATCTTTGTATATATTATATTACAATGATCTTGTGAATTTTTTTTTTTTTTTTGTAAAGTGAAAAGTACATTCGTTCGAAGAGATTGGTACAGGGAATTTTCCATCAAATCGTTTTATTCACCGGAGAATGAAATTTCACTCTTAAAGGGTAAACTAAGAGGGATGATCAGAGTTTCTTTTTAATCGAAACTCATTTCTTCCTTTTTCCTTTTTTCAAAGATATCTGGTATTATATTTCGTTTTATGTGGTGTTTGCTCATGCGCCGAACGATTCTATTGGTTCCGGAAAATGAGAACACCTTGCGTTGGATCGACAACCCTCGGGTTCCCCGGGTTATGAGATCTTTTGGAGGTGAAGGACGCGCTCGTTGCCACGAAATTTCAATGTAGCTTAAAAAATTAAGTTGGCAACGAGACTGAGGGCGAGACTGAATGAACGGTGATACGGGTTTTAATGAAATTTGTAGAAAATATGTTTAGACTATTAAGGATGGTCTCCTCATAGCAGGAGTTTGAGCTAACAGATTTCCACAAGTTTGTGTATTACTTTGCTTCAAACGCAATCGGTTCGTTGATTAAAAATAACACGTTGTT